ACCGACGGAGTGACGAGCTAAGGAAATGCCACAGCCATGGCGTGGGGCTCTTGGTCTCCTTCCTGCCCCCTGCTGCCACGGTCTTTGTGCTTGTCTCTGTCCTTTGCCACGAATCTATTTCTGTCTCCAACTGTTGTCTCTCTTTTTACATACACATGCACACACGCACACACCCTAAACAAGGGCAGAGAAACAGGGTCTGGAACCCACACGGGGCCAAGCCACAGGGAACCGGAGCTGGAGCTGTGTTGCCCCAGCGGGAGGAACAAGCGATTGGGAAAGGAGGGAGGAAAGTTGCCCCAGCTCATGTCCATACCGCACAGCCATGTGAGGACCTAGCTGGGCCAACCCCCTGCCCTCACTCAGGCCTCCCTCCCCAGCAGGAAACGCCTCGGGCTGTCACCAGGTCCCAGGCAGGAGATGCCCACCTGGCTCCTCTGGAAATCCGGTAATCCCACATTTATGAAACACGTGGAGAGAGGACGGAGGCCGGTTTGAGTTCCCTGGGGACAGATGGGAAACGCGGAGGGGGCGCAGGCAGAACCAGCCAGGCTTGCACTCAGAGCTCCCTCTGTGTCCGTCTGACCTCCCTGTCACCTTGTCCCAGGCTGCCCACATAACCCCAGAAAAGGACCAGAAAATGGAATGTGGCCATTTGTATGGGGCTGTGCATGTGTGTTTGTGTTAGTATAGACGTGCGCAGCCAGGGGAACTTCAAAAAGTTCATGGGAACTGTGTATTTTCATGCCACCTTTCCACGAACTTTTTGAAGTGTCTTCGTATATTTACATATATCAGTGTACTTCATATGTAGGTGTCCGTATGTGAAGGTGCATATGGATGTGTGTGTAGATATGTATACCCGAGGGTACTTCAAAAAGTTCATGGAAAATGCCCATCTTTTCTTGTATATTTGTGTGTGTGCACATGTATACTTGTGTATGTATGCATATATGTGGATGTGCATATTTGTGTTTGTGTATGCATTTATGCATGTGTGTGTGTGTGTACAGAATCTCTCTCAAAAACACCAGCAGTGAAAATAAAGGCAGGAACGCGGGATTCTGGATATATGAGGCTTATCAAGTTTTACCAAACCATTTTTTAACAAATGAGATTTATTCTCCATCTCACTGCCAGAATTGGTCCCAAATGTTGAGAACGAACTGGATTTCGGGACATACAATCCCATTTGCAATGGCTCTGAGGGCTTGGCTATTTAGAAAGAACTTGCAAAAGCACTCACTACAGTCCCTTCCAAGAAGCAGACGTCTCATTAAGCTGGGAGATGCGATTCCAGCCCCGCGGGCACAGACTGCCAGGGGGGTGGGAGGTGCAGGGACTTGGGCATGTGCTGGGCTCTGCAGCAGGAGGCCCCACACCCAGTGAGCAGGGTGGAGGGCCCAGGACAGGCCAGATGGAGCTCCCAGAGGACAGACAACAGAGGTGGAGGGAAAGGCACAAGCTGAGCCCGCCTGGGCTCGGGGGCCCTGCGCCAGCGTATTTGACCCCTCCTGTGGGATGAGACTGCTGCGTGGCTAGAGAGGAAGAGGGCTGAAGGCAGCGGCTCTTGGGTTTCCATGGGGTTGGCCTGCTGGGAGTCTGATGGCAAGTGGAGGTGGTGGGAGCAAGCCAGGAAGCTGCAGGCCCGCAGATTCCAGACACAGAAGTTGTGGGGTTCGGGGGTGTCCTGGATCGGGGGGGAGGGGATGAGGAGGGCTCAGCAGCACGGGGGTCCTTCAGTGGGGTAGAGGATGGAGACTCTGAGCAGGCACGTTGGAGTTTGGGGACTGAGTCATCCAGGGGCTATGCTCAGCTGGTCAGCAGTTGACAATGTGCCAGCAGCACAGGAGAGAGGCCAGGCTGCAGAATGCGATTCCAGGGTCAGGAGTCTCTGGAAGGCACGCGAAGCCAGGGGAGCAGGTGAGGTTGCCTACAGGGTAGGCAGCACGAGAACAGGGCTGGGCAATGAGCCCTGCAGAACACCAAGCCGCCAGAGGGGGACTCCAAGGCCAGGCTGCAGGGAGAAGGAAAAGCAGGCCACAGGGGTGCCCAGGAGCGGCAGCAAGCGGAGCAGGGAGCAGCGCCCCTGCTGAGGGGGTGAAGGGCAAGCATCCCCACGTTGAGCAGCCTGGGCGAGCTGGTGCCCTTGTGGGAATTGGAAAAAGGTGCCCCTTTCTCAAGGTAATTGACTTCTATCAGAAAACTACTCCTCCAACACACTGGTTTTATTAGAACACTTTACTGCCATCTGTGGGAAAATTGTTATAATAAATAATAAACGTCTGCCGTCTCAGATGTGGCGACTGCTCATGGCAGCCCGGGTCACCGGCGACGGCAGTAAAAGCAGCCGGCAGGGGAGGGGAACGGACTGCACCCGCGAGGGCGCCCGGAGCTGCAGGCAGCACGCGATCCAAGCAGAGGTGGACCCTGGGCTCGCGTCTGCAGGGAGGGCAGCGCCAGGGCTGGCTCTGCCTCCCCATCTGCTCTGCCACCCTCCGTGGGCGGCCTTCTTCCCCAGGCTTGTCCCTTCCTGATCCCAAGAGGGAAGCCACAGCTCTGGCCGTTACATTCTTCCACAAGATCAAGAGGCGGAGGATGTGGACATGGATGTGTGCATCCTTTTTTAACGGGGAGAAAACCTTCCTCAAAGTGGCCCAGCCCTCCTCGTCACCAGCACCACCAAGGGTAATGGCCTCACTGTGATTGGTTTGATCACAGGAAGCGGAGGAGTGAGGGTGAGGTGAGGACACGGGACTGACGGTGTAGACGAAACACACACGTATGTATACACACACACACCCATCTGTAGAACCATATTTTATTTATACATGTATGCTTCTCGAGTGACGGAATCATCCTCCCCCTGCCTCTCAGATCTTCCCTGCTGGCTCCTGGACTGGTGAACAGTTCCTCCAGAACAGCTCTCTGCACGTGGCCACGCAGCACCCTGAGCCGTCACTCTTCACCACTGGTGACCACAGACCGGAGCACTGGAAGCGCCCAGCCCCCGGCCCATCCCATCACGGGCAGTTTGCCACAACACTTATCCAGAGAATAAGCTCCGAGAGGAACCCCGTCCTCCCAGGTAAGGACCAGGATAAAAAGGGTTTTCCAGCAACGTGGCGCTCGTCAAGCTCAGCCTCACGCCGAGCCCTTCTGCATGCCTTCATCGCCTCCAGGACCAAGTGCACACTCCTTGCTCCACACCCGGGCCTCGCCTTCCAGCCCTCTCATGCCCAGGCTGTCTCCTCCAGGCCCGTTCTCCCCGGACCACGCCCTGAGCGAGCTGAGCTCTCTGGCTGCTCCCCCACACGGCCTCCTCCCTGCTGCTGGGAACACCCGTGGCTGCCGGCCAGCGCCCCTTCTCTGCTGCTCCCATAAGGGGCCCCTTCCCTTGCCTCACTGCAAGTAATGCAAGACCAAAGTTGTGCAGAACTCACTTCTGCACCCTCCATGTGAATCCCTCAGTACACAGTTGCTGGGGCAGCTGTTCAGTGCCTGCTTGTTTTGCTTGGTGGCCCACACAGGGCCAGGGAGCAGCTCCAAGCCTGGCTCCACAAGTGCAGTCACACTGTAGACTGAAGAGAGGGCACCAAGCCCTCAGTGACCCGGCTGAGCAGCTGGATCAGCCTCTGCCTGAAGCCAGTCCTCCTACATGTTTCGTTTCCAAAAAGACATTAAATTCCCTTTACTGGTTTGAGTAGGGTATTACCTGCAACCCAGAGGAATCAAAAAAGAGGGAGGATAAAAACAGAGCACAGTGACCCCCATTGTTTAACCCGCTGATGGCTGCATGGTGAGCCCACCTTTGCTCCTGCCCTCCTGCACCTGGAGAGAGAAGTGGGACCTTCTGTCCCAAGCTCACTCTTTCTGCTCTCCCCCAGAAGAGGGCTCCATTGACTCCCCCACACTCCAGGGTCTCTGGTCTTCCCCCGCCCAGCAGCTGCCTCTTCCCTGCTCTCAGATGCCCCCCTCAGGGGTCCCTCTCCTAGGCAGCTCCTGGCACCTCCTCTCCCTCCAGCTGTCAGTGCCTGCTTCCCACTCTGCCTCCACACAGGTGCTACTCAGTGAAGGCTTGTCCCAGAGGGACCTCCCCAGGATCGCTTTGCCCCCCCACCCGCCCCGTCCCTGCTGTGTGTTCTGTGTGTTCTGGCTCTAGGTGTCGGGTATCAGGCTCCCCGGGGCTCCTGGACACCTCCAGCCTGAATAGAACCGCTGTTTTCAAGGTGCTGCTCCCTGCTCCAGGTGGGCCTCAGACACCCCTAGTCTTGCCAATCATGTGGGGTGTGGCAGGACCTCTGCCAGAGTTGAGAGCTATGGGGGGCTAGGAGGGTCCCTCTGGGGCCTCTCAGAAAGAAACAGGAGAAGCCTCCTGCGTAACAGGAGAGGTGGCAGGCAGCGTTCTAGCCCCTCCAGGGTCAGGGGAGAGGCAGAGACCTCTCTCTGGGAAGCCACCATTTCCAAGCTCTTGGCTCTCTCTCCAGGGGTGCTCCTGCTGCCCCTGTCAATCAAGCCTGATTCTTGCAGGAAACATCAGGCAGCAGCGAAGGCTAAGCTCAGGCCACAAGAGGAAAGGGTGGCTTTGTCCGGACCAGCTCTTTAAAGCAGAGGGAAGGAATCCTAAGAGGCCCCAGGAGCGTGGGGGACAAGGTCGAAGCCAGGGTCCAGCAGCCCTCCCTGCCTGGGAGTTTCTGGCCTGACCCCTTCCCCACAGGGCAAAGGAACCTGGAGGCAGAGGCGAGTGCCTCCTGAGAAGGGCAGCTGGGGAGGAAGGGGAGACGCCCGAGTGAAGAGGGGACAGAGGGGACAAGGGAAAAGCCCTGGGGAAAGGGCAGACACTCCTGGCCACCAGGCAGGCCACGCACTGAGCCCCGCCTGCTCCCCAATTCACCTTACTGTCAAGGAAACACCCCGTCAGGCCCCGACCCACTGTCCCCAGAGGACAGGCCTACAGTCGCCCCAACTCAGGCACAGGAGAGACACACAGCCACAGCACATCGAGGTTCTGTCTGTTTTATACTGAAATGTGTGCGAGCCGATCCAAAGGAGGGGAGGGCCGGAGGAGACAGCGATGATGAAAGGCGGTGACACCAGGGCTCGACGCCTGCCGCTCTGGGAGCACTCGTCAGTCCTTCCGCGCATCCGCCCACCCTGGCAGGACGGTCCGGCCTCAGAGGTCTGCAGGAGCTGGATGGGGTGGGGGCACCCTCAGCTGAAGGGCTTCACCAGCTTCATGGCAGCATAGTTCTGCAGGGAAGGAGGCAGGACACGTGGTGACCCCGAGGGGCAGGCACAGAGCTGGCCTGACAGGGGCCGGGAAGGGAGGCCACGGCTCCTCATTCAGACACTTGCATGCACCTGGCCCTCACCACCCACCTTCCCACGCTCGTGCTCAGCTCAACACCTGACCCCACCTGGGGCTGTCGCCAATCAAGCCAACCCGCACCCACACCCACCAGAGACTCCCTCAGCCCTCCTGCCTGGGGGCCCAGACTGCATGATGGGCACTCCTCTCTCCCACCAGCCCAAGACCTGCTCCAGCCCAGGTTCCCGTGGTGGTCCAGGGGAGGCCTGCCCTGGCCTTTCCCACCTGACAGATGCTGAAGCAGGGCCATGGTCCCCACCCCGCCCCCTACTACACCTTCACTCACTCACTCACTCGCCCACATGGGAACCCAGAGCTCATCTGTCGCTGCACTCCTGCCCAGAAAGCAGGGAGAGAGGGGGAGAGTTGGGGTGTGAAGTGTTTGGGGGTGATCCACCATTCAGGCTAGCGCCAGGACCCTGCCTGCTGCAGGACTGACAAGGGCCTCCCCACCCAGTCCTCCGTGAGCACACGCAGCACAGGGCTCTAATTGGGACAGCATGTTCCCCAGGGCCGCACAGGAAAGCCGGCACTGGAAACAAAAGGCCGTCCTCGGTCCCCGCCAGACCGCCTCCCCACACTGGCCCCGCTCCCAGCTCGCTCCCATCAGACAGACTGGCCCCCATGGCCTCCTCCCCGGGGAATTTCCAAGGGGCGGGGGGATTGGGTCATCGGCAGAAGGACAGCCTTGACCTTCTCCCGGGACCCTGGGCAGCTGAGAGCCAGGTGAGGGTCACCAGGACACAGCCCTCATAGGGGTGGGACTGGCCAGGTGATTAAGGGATTTGGGTGAAGACAAGCAGGTAGCCCGGCTTGCAGTAAAGGCCTACAGGTAAAACCAGCCTTTAGCCCAGTCCTGGACACAGACTCCCCCAGGCCCCCACGCCTGCCCCCAGGCCAGCCTTGTAAAGAGGACAACTCCGGGCTCAGGGAGACAGGGCAGGGGCTGCATGACAGGAGAGCTTCCCTTTCTCTCCTAGCTCGGCAGCAGGGTCTCCTGCCCCAGCCTTCCAGGGGCCAGGGGTGGGGCAGACAGGACGTGGGGCATGGTCCACCCAGACTCTGCAGGACGAGTCATGGGGAAGGTGAAGGACCCGCCCCGACAGTCACAGAGGTCAGAGCTGTAACGGGGACGGGCCAAGGTCTCACAGGCAGAGCCAGTCCTCCAGACTCCGAGTGCAGAGCCCTGTCCTGCACGACAGCAGTTCTCCAACCTCAGTGTGCCCAGGGGCAGCTTGGCCCTCAGCAGAACCAGGGCCGGCCCAGGACTCCGCCTGTCGAGGCCACTGGCCACCGACCATATGCGGAGATGCGAGGGTCTGCACCAACTCCCCAATTCGCTGGAACACCCCCCCGCCTGGGCCCCACGCTGGAACATCTGATTGCACACCATGGCTCTCCCCCGTGGTCCGGGCCTCCTCACCTCCTCCCTTAGGCCCACAGCAGCCCCTCACCACCCTGACACAGCTGAGTGGCAGCCAAGGACACTCCCAGTCAGAGGAGATACACTGAGGCAGGCCAGGAGAGGGGCCCATGCTCCCCCAGGCTCAGCAGCCTGGGCCTGCCCATGGGTGGAAACACCCAGCAGAAGTCCCGGCTGTCCCCAGATTCCAGGTGGCCCTGGCAGCAGCAAAAGCGCTGACACCACACCTGCACGTGCCCTTCCGTGCTGTCTCTAATCTTGCTTTTGTGGTCTCACCTGCCTCTGCTTAATGAGGCCTCCTGGAATTGTACAGACCTCAGGCACCCACCACTCAGATCCACCCTCGACCCCCGTCATGCTTTGCTAATCAACTGTTAACTCTTCTTGCAGGGTCTCAGGAAATGCCTCCCCCATGTGGCGCCGTGGGCAGCCAAGGCCGGCCTAGGGGGCCTGGCCTGCAGCTGCACCCACAGGCCCTCCTGCTTCCAGACCCTCCTTTGTTACTAAAGGGTAGTCACAGCCTGGCCGTGAACACCAGATGTCCCCTCTGCCACTCCTCCTGGCGGATGACGCCAGGGACTGCAGGGGGTGGTTTCCGGTTTAACCTCTCCCTTCCAGGAGCTGCACTCTGTGGACACCAGACCCGGCCAGCTGACAGCTCTCAGAGAGAGAGAGAGAGAGAGAGAGAGAGAGAGAGAATCTCCATCACTCTACACCTCCTGGAGGGTCTACAAGCCAGGAGCTCACCTAGGAGTGATTCCTGAGAAGCCTGCCTGCTGTGGGGACGGCGCCCTGGGCTGCTGGCCTGGTGCTGCCCAGTATTGAGGCCTTCAGTGGGAACCACAGCGAGCCCTGTGCTAGGAACTATGCACGTGTTGCGTGTTGCTGCACACCCCCGGCCAGTCCCTTCTCTGTGGAAGTTTGTGTCTCTGCCATGAAAATCTGGCCATGGAGAGAGAAAGAGAGGAGAGACACCTCTCTACTTCTATGAGTTTGGAATTTCCACATTAAAAAGTTTTTAAGAACGTTTTAAAAAATCAGGTGTCTGCCTGAGAACACTGCAATCCCTCAGGGTTTGGAGCATCTTTGGGGGTCCCTGAGGAGCTGTGAGAGCCAGCAAAGGACAGGCTGAGAACACAGCCCTGGAGCCTCCCCCTGGGCGGGGCGCTGCGGAGCTGGGGGCACAGCCGCTGTCTCTAGGTCACGCCGGTGAGCTTTTTGCCAGGTGCCAGCTGGCTTCTTAGAAGGGCGCCGCAAGCGTGCTTCATGCTAAGTGAGGGCTCCTGGGCCAGCCCCCTTCCCCATGCCCACCAGACGGCAGTGGGCAGGACCCCTCCTGGCCCTAGTGCCTCCTCTCCCAGGATTTAGCCTCAAGCCTGAGGGCTTTCTCCACCCTGCCACCCACACCTCATCCTCTCTTCCCCACTTGACCCGGATCCATACCCATTCTGGCAGGTTCTCCCGCCCACCAGCCCAAGGGGCCTCATCTTCTCCAAATCTCCTGATTGACAGCCATGTCTCCCCACCAAGCACAAGAACTCAATTTACCCCCACTGGGCTAAGAGCTCCCAACAGGTAGGACAGGGCCTCCCCCACCTGACTGGGGACTCCCTGGGTGGGGACAGTGTCTCCTTTATCAGGCCAGGAGTCCCACCCCTGCCAGGACACAGGGGAGCTCTCACACAGATGGACACCCTCGTTAGACCCGAAGCTTCTCCAACATGGCGTGTGTGCCTCCCCCATCAGGCGGCTCACCGGGAAGGCATAGACGAAGATGCCCAAGAACAGCAGGAGGATGAAGAGGATGATGAAGAGGATGATGGCACACCGGAAGCGCCGCCACAGGATGAATTTCATCGTCTTGTACGGGGAGGTGAACCACAGGAAGGAGGTGTCCGGGCGCCTGGAAGGTGGGTCCCAGAGCTCAGCAAGGCGTCCTCTCCCTGGAGTGCTCTCTCCAAACCCTGCTCTCAGCTGGTGACATCCCAGCCAACACCCCGGCCCCCGTAGACCCCAGCCTTGCCCCTAAACTCAGCCCTTCACACCTGCAGTCCCTCTCCCCCCACATCCTGTGGGCCTCCAGCTCCTGGCTCTGAGGTCCAGTTCCTGGCCATCCTCTCCGCCCCACCCACTTCTCTCCCGACCAGGACTTGATCGTGGACCACAGATGCGGGAGCTGGGCAGTCTTGAGAGGCTGCTGCCCGAAGTGAGTGTGGGCCCAGCGAGCCCCAGGTAACCAAGCCACATGCCCAGCAAGCAGCACGTGGTTGGTGCATGCTCAGGGGAGGCCGGCAGGAAGAGCACCCAGAACACTGATCTTCTCTTCCTTGCATCCAAGACCCTCAGAACCCTCCCCAGTCAGCCCCAGGACTCAGAGAAGATGCAGGATTCCGTCTGCTGCTGTGGCTCTGTTCATCTGACTGCACAGCCTGGCTCTCTCTTGTCTCTCTACCCAGCTCCCAGCAGCCTGGGGAGCTCTGCCAGTCCCACGGCACCTGGAGAGCACCACGATAAAGTGAGCTGCCCACGCCAGGTCCACCCTGGACCAGGCAGGCAGCGGGGAGGGACCCAGCAAACAGCCGGAACCCTCACCACCATCTCGTGCGGTGTCTGCCCAAGAGGCCTGCGGCCGAGGGAAGACGGGCTGGTCTCCCTGTCTCACAGATGGGAAAAGCAAGGTGAGAAGACCCTCTGAAAGCCGCCCTAACCCCGCGGGAGAGCCGTGGGAGGCAGCTTGGCAAGGGGAAAGACCTGACGGGGCTGCGGTGGAGCCGGCGAGCCTCCGCTCCACCGCTTTCTTGGACGGAATGACCCCGTGGAACCGTGCTGGGGCGGTTTGCTCAGCCGTGAGACGAAGATGAAACCATCGCACGGCAGCAAGGTCCGCAGCCCGATGTGGACACGCGCGAGGCCGGCGTGCCTGCTCACCACAGACAGGCGCCCAGAGTGCTTGCTTCCTGAGTCAGCCCGGCGCCCTCGGCAGCAGCTAGGTCACCTGCCCCTCACTCACGGCGCGGCCTCTCTCTGGGCCGGTGGGCCTGTGACTTCCTGCGACCCTTGGGCATCAGGAGTTGGGGGCTGGGCACTAACCTCGGGTCTTCCAGTTTGGGGTTCATGTTGGGCTCATCTCGACCCTGGCCAGCGGGCCGCTCCTCATGCTCACTCTCTGCTACAATCTCCAAGGTCATTTCCAGCTTGCCCTAAGGGGACAGACAGACCCTGGTCAGGGGCACAGAGACTCTGCTCAGTGGTTGGAGAGCAGCCAGCCAGGACAAACGAAACACACATCATTGTCATCATCATTATTATTATTCAGACAAAGAGTTGTTTTGTTCCTCGTAGAACATTTAGAAAGCTCGGAAATGTACAAAGAACATTACCATACCTCCAGTGTGCATCACTGCTGTTTTTCTCTGCAGGTTTAGGAGAAACCACAGTGTGTGTGTGTGTGTGTGTGTGTGTGTGTGTCATTCTACAGCTTTTTTCACTTCAGAATATATTTCACTATATAATTGTACATCCATTAAAGTTTGGCTTTTAATGACTGTAAAATATTCTATAGATGTTTAACCATAATTTATGTAGTAAACTACTTATTTTGGTTCATGTAAGTTATTTCCAGCTCTTTGACATTGTAAATAATGCTGCAACAAACACCCCAGAGCCAAATGTCTAATTTTATCTGATCATTTCTTACGGAGAGAGTCTTAGAAGTGGGATGACAGAGTTGGAGGCATAAATACTGTTAAATTTCTGCCCATACATTACCAACTTGCAGCCCCACACACTAAAACCAACAGCAAAAAGTTGGTTCCTTCTCTCCGGATCCTCACCACCAGGGAGCATTTCTGCTTTTTAAACTGTTAGTAGACACAGATATTGGGGCCAGCGCTATGGTGTAGTAGGCTAAGCCTCAGCCTGTGGCACCGGCATCCCATATGGGTGCCAGTTCGTGTCCCCACTGCTCCTCTTCTAATATAGCTCTCTGCTAGTGCCCAGGAAAGCAGTAGAGGATGGCCTAGATGCTTGGGCCCCTGCACCCATGTGGGAGACCCAGAAGCAGCTCCTGGCTCCAGGCCTCAGATAGGCCCAGCCTCAGGCCTTGTGGCCATTTGTGGAGTGAATCAGCAGACAGAAGACCTTTCTTTCAATCTCTCCCTCTCTGTAATGCTGACTCTCAAATAAATAAAATTGTTAAAAAAAAAAAAATAGACACAAGCATCACATTTAAAATATTATCTGATTTAATCACTAGAGGTGATAAATTGCTTTCCTGTTTAATGGACACTTGTATGTCATTCGTGAGTTATCTTTGTGTGTCCCTTGCTCATTCTTCCTTTAGAGTATTAGCATGCCTCACTAATGGCTACAGTTCTTTATATAACAAGGGTATTGTATTTCAAGGGCCACTTCAGCAGCTGGCCAGCTGCCTGCTGCTACTAAGTGAAACATCAGGGCTGCTCTGGGCACAGGGGAAGGGTGACTCCCCCTGGCCTTCCAGCATCCCGAGCAGGCCTTCCGGCAAGGTGCACACAACCAGAATAGTCCCATGCAGGGTCCTGCTCATAGGGAGGCCACAAGGCCAGGATAAACAGGTGACACTGCACCTCAAAGAGGTTCCCCCAGGGACGTGAGCCTTGAGGGAGAGGAGAGCTGGGAACTGGGAGGGAAGAAGCGGGCTGCTTTGTTAAACAGAGGGGGCAGGCCAGGAAGCCTGCGTGTGCTCCCTAACCATGGAAGCATCCTCAGCCAAAAGAGGAAGTAGACTCACCGCCAGGATCTTCTTTTCGCCCTCATCTGCCACACAGGGCCACCAGCCCTTCACCGTCTTCTGCTCAAAGAGGGACACAAACCGTTCTGGGTGGAAGACTTCGTCCAGCTGCTCCAGGGAGCACTTCTCAGCCGTCTTAGCTGGCTTGGGCATGTGGTTGAGATCCAGCTGCAGGGCGCCTGTGACACAGAGGTGGTCTTTGGCTGAGGGGTTCTCCATCACTGCCAGCCAAGGCTACCCTGGTACAGGGCAGGGCAAGAAAGCAGTCACCTCCTCAGCTCCTATCCAGGGTTCTCCATGGGTCAAAGTCCCAAACTCTCGAAACACACACACACACACACACACACACACACACACATGCACAGCCTCTCTGCCCATCTACACCACAGCTTCCTACCCATTCACTCACGCTCCCACCCACTCGTACCCAGTCACCCTTAACAAAGCTACCTACTTCTCCCATAATGCATCTTGCTATGGACAAATCCATTGTATACCATTACCTACATCCATCCATCCACCAATTGTTTACAAGCTTTTTTATTGTAGTAAAGTACATACAGCCTCACATCCGTCATGATGCTTTTTTAGTGAATTACAGTCACGAAACTTTTTCGCTCCCTAGACAGAAAACTCTGTACCCATTAGGCAGTGACGCCCCATTCCCTCAGCCCCCAGCAGCCTCTACTCACTGCCTCTACAGATTTGCCTGCTCAGGATATCTAAGTGGAATCGTGTGTGTGCTTTCTGTCTGGCTGATTCTGCTTAGCATCATGTTTTCAAGGTTCATCCACACTGTAGTTTACGTAGGCACGCCAACCTTCCCTGTGGTGGAATACTACTCCACTACCTGCCTATGCTAGCTTGTATTTACCCATCCACCTGTTGACAGAAACTTCAGCAGTTTCCACCTCTTGGGTATCGTGAACAATGCTTCATGAACACTGAAGTACCAGTGCTTGTGTGCCTACTTTCAGTTCTCTTGGGCACACATCACGGAGTAGCATTGCTGGGTTTTATGGCGATTCTGTGTTCAACTTTTCAGGGAATCACCAAATTGGTTTCCACCATGGGTGCTTTGCTTAATATTCATGCCAGCATCACACAAGGGCTCCGGTTTCTCCACATCCTCACCAACACTTCTTTCTGTTACTGCTGCTGCTGCTGTTAGTGCCCCCAGTAGGTGGGAAGCGGTATCTTACTGTGAGCATCCATCACCCCTTTCCATCCTGGCTACCCAGCTAGCCATGTTTCTGTACTGGTTCATCTACTCATCTATTTTATCCACCATCTTCCTGTGTAGCTCCAACAATTAGGCTGAATCCCATGAAAATGTTGATATTCAACTATCTTTGACCTAAAAAAAAAAAAGGCAATTTCGTGTGCTTTCACCTGCTCTAATCACAGAGTCAAGAAACTGTTTCCTGAAGCCAAATGAAAGTTCTTGAATGCCATGCCAGAGATTAGACAATTCAGCATGGGGTGCTCACTTACACAGCTAAGCACCAGATCTAGTTTTCCACTTTTCCTTTCCACTCGTTCACTTTTCCATCTGTCCTTCCATCCATACTCTGCTTCATCCTCACTAGCTATAGCCCTCCGTAGCTACCACTTGTTGAGTGCTGTACCTACCCCCCTGTCTACCCATCTACCTACTCATCCAACTCCAGATCAGCATTCCTCTGCCCAGTCCCCCGTCCACACAGCTCTCTACCCCTCAATGCAGATGAGTGCTCATTTCCACTTTAAAATACAGTCCTAATGGAATATTTTTTTTTTTGACAGGCAGAGTGGACAGTGAGAGACAGAGACAGAGAGAAAGGTCTTCCTTTTTGCCGTTGGTTCACCCTTCAATGGCCGCCGCGGCTGGCGCACCGCGCTGATCCAATGGCAGGAGCCAGGTACTTATCCTGGTCTCCCATGCGGGTGCAGGGCCCAAGCACTTGGACCATCCTCCACTGCACTCCCTGGCCACAAGAGAGCTGGCCTGGAAGAGGGGCAACCAGGACAGAATCTGGCACCCCCACCAGGACTAGAACCTGGTGTGCCGGCGCCGCAAGGCAGAGGATTAGTCTAGTGAGCCGCGGTGCTGGCCGCCTAATGGAATATTAATATCAGAATATTGAACCCCCATACACACACACACACATCCCAACATTATCTACACCAAAGACTGTAAGGAAACATAGGATTACCTCGGGATAGTAAGATTATAGGCACTTAACTATTACCTTTAAAATTAAAAAATATTTGAAAGACATAAAATATGTAATTATAAACTACAGTATGATGGTAGAGAAGAGAGAGCTCATGGAGTTAAAAGGTACTATTTGTTTTTAAGTTTTAGTTTTAGGAACAAAAGATGAGCCTGATTACTTTGCACACTGTTTTTTCTTTTAATTTGTAAAATTTGAGAAAGAGTGCATTCCATCCACTGGTCTACCCCCTCCAATGCCAGCAACAGAAAGTCAGGAGCCAGAAACTCAGTCCAGGTCTCCCAGGTGGGTGGCAGGCCCAGCTAGCTGAGCCATCACGGCTGCCTCAGAGTCTGCAGTAGCAGGGAACTGGAATCAGGAGTGGAGCCAGGTATCCAATCCCTGTACTCTGGTAACGTGGGCATCTCAAACAGCATCTTAACCACTAGGCCAAAGCCTGCCCCCTTTGTGTTTTTTTTTTTTAACTTTTATTTAATGAATATAAATTTCCAAAGTACAGTTTATGGATTACAATGGCTTTTCCCCCCCATAACTTCCCTCCCACCCGCAACTCTCCCATCTCCTGCTCCCTCTCCCATTCCATTTGCATCAAGATTCATTTTCAATTCTCTTTATATACAGAAGATCAATTTAGTATATATTAAGTAAATATTTCAACAGTTTGCACCCACACTGAAACACAAAGTGTAAAATACTGTTTGAGCACTAGTTATAGCATTAAATCACAATGTACAGCACATTAAGGACAGAGATCCTACATGGGGAGTAAGTGCACAGTGACTCCTATTGTTGACTTAACAAATTGACACTCTTGTTTATGACGTCAGTAATCACCCTAGGCTCTTATCATGAGTTGCAAAGGCTATGGAAGCATTTTGAGTTCACCGACTCCGATCTTATTTAGACAAGGTTGTAGTCAAAGTGGAAGTTCTCTCCTCCCTTCAGAGAAAAGTACCTCCTTCTTTGATGGCCCATTCTTTCCACTGGGATCTCACTCGCAGAGATCTTTCATTTAGGTTTTTGGTTTTTTTGTTTGTTTGTTTTTGCCAGAGTGTCTTGGCTTTCCATGCCTAAAATACTCTCATGGGCTCTTCAGCCAGATCCGAATGCCTTAAGGGCTAATTCTGAGGCCAGAGTGCTGTTTAGGACATCTGCCATTCTATGAGTCTGCTGTGTATCCCGCTTCCCATGTGTGGGGAGCAATCCGGACTAGACTAAGTTGCTCGAATTAGGACTTATTCTATGCATCTGCTCTCCCACAATATGGCGCTGGGAGAGAAGTAAACAGCTTCCGCACAGCTGCCTCCAGTTCAACCAATTAACTGTAGGACTTGCTCCTGATTGGAGAGCAGCGTACTCAGCCGAGTTGGGATTGGCGGAGGAGGACTATAAAGGAGGAGAGAGACGGCATGCACCAGGAACATCTATGGGGAACATCTAAGGGAACCCGTGCAGCCCCCAGAGAGCCGGCCGGCGGTGTGCCGCTCCCCTGCGGAAGTGGGGAATGCGGCCAGGGGGAACTGCCCTTCCACGGAGGTGGAAGGGATAGTAGCCAACCCGGGAAGAACCAGCAGCAAACCCGGGGAGGGCCGAGCAGACAGAAAGAACAGCGCAGGGTCCTGTGTTGCTCCTCCACGAAGAGGGGGAGCGACACCATGTTGGATAATTCTCTCCTTCTTAATTCTATCAGATAGCATTAGCAGACACTAGTCTTGTTTATGTGATCTCTTTGACTCTTAGACCTATCATTATGATCAATTGTGAACTGAAATTGATCACTTGGGCTAGTGAGATGGCATTGGTACATGCCACCTTGATGGGATTGAATTGGAATCCCCTGGCACGTTTCTAACTCTACCATTTGACTGCCCCTTTGTTTTTAAAATTTGCTTTCTAAAGCCTCACCTGATAAGGGCAAGATTGACAGATAACATTAAAAAGGATTTCAAGTCTGTAAGCAAAAAGACTATGAAAATATTAACAAGCAAATTTTTAAAATAAGATAAACTTGAAATAATTCCTTAATATATTAAAATCCTCTGGAAACAAAAAAATGAACAGCCCAAAACTATGAAAAAGAAAATACCACCAATAATATGGACAACAAACATTTTTAAAATTCTCCCTTACAATTTAAAATGCAAATAAAACTATTATATTGGAAAATTTTTAAAAAATGTAACAGTCATAGCAGAAGTTTAGGGAAAATGGCACCCTGCAAAAAAGGACACAGGTGGAAGTGCAAATAAGGAAAAACTTCTCTAGATGGCAACGAAATAAAATATTCCCAAAAGCACTGAGCTGCACAAAGTTGCCAACAAATTGTTTCTTAGAGTTAGGGAAACAGACTCTCAAAGGCCCCTAGGATGCATGCCTGGGCTGTCACTCACACTAGAAAGCCTGAAGATGGCCAGATCCCTACTAGAGGGGACAACTTCAACAAACCACACACCATCAGACAGGCACCAAGTGCGACAGCACAGATACAAACACAGACACCTGGCGATCAGCAAGAATGTTCTGGAAACATTAGGTTTCCCAAGGATCAAGACATAAAATGGTATCTGCAATATTAATTCATTCATAAGGGGAATTAAAAGACAAGCTTATTAAATTTTGACATGCAAGTATACCAGGAGTCTTCAAAAAGTTCATGGAAAACATGTATTTGGGAAAAACTGTAAGAATTTATGTTTTGAACTAAAATAAACTTGTCTTTCAATTCTACCACAAACTTTCTGAAGTAATTTGATACACGTACATGGGTGTACACACACACACACACACACACAGATGTCACACGTGTATTTATGAGGTGATCTCAAAAAGTTCACGGGAAATGTGCATTAGGAAAACATGCATGGATTTCACAGCTTGCTGCAACAAAATAAACTCATACTAACTTGGAACTCATCTGGCTCAGATCTAATTTGAGGCACTAAGAAGGGTTAGTAGTGAGTTTGCAGAGCCCCTGTGAGAGCAACATGAATTCTGCTACAGCTGAAGAAGCAACACTGCACTGAGCGTAAAAAGCTCGGGTGACGAACAGCGAAGTCGTCGGTGCTTCCGAGAACTCTGAGGACAGTGCCCCAGAGAAATCAGCAGCTTGCAAGTGCACAGCTCATGTTAAGAAAGGATCAGACCACGTGGAGGGTGGAGGATGCAGCCTGCAGCAGCGGCCCATCCACGTCAACTTATGAGGCAAAAAATGAATCTTCTGGGCGCCCTCATGGAGGACCCACAGTTCACAGCAAGGAACGACGGCCAACCACACAGACGTCCGACGGGACGGGGAAATCACAGCCGAGGCAACGTTCTGCTCAGGGGGCCACAGCCGAGTGACACCTGGACAACAGCAGAGTCGTCCGTGGAAGTTCTCCCAAGTGGGATCAAGAACTTGAAGCAGGTCTTGGAAGGACTGTACCGAGATCCCATGCGGCTTTCCCAGGACAGTCCTGCGGGCAAAGCACACTCAAAGCAGTGGCGCCCAAGAGGTCACGGCAAGAGCAGGGCAGTCCGGAGCGGAGGTCACGGCTCCGGTGTTTCCGGCCGTTTGAGGCATTTTGCTCGCTGACTCCCCGGGGCTCGAGCGACAGCATCCACTTGTGGGGAGAGTGTTCCGAAGAAGTTAGCCGCAGGATTGGAAGAAACACCTGGGAAAGCTTCGCAGATGAGCTCCTGCTCACCCCACTCACCAGGCAAGGGCAATTTTGTGGGGATTTAAATGGGAAGTCACTGAGTGGGCACCCCCCTTACAGTCCTGATTGGGCTCCATGTCACTTCTTTTCATCCTCTGGTCTTAAAAACTCCTTAGAGGGCACCCACCTTTCTTCCGTTGACAACATAAGGAAGACCGCACCGGCATGTTAGCGTCCCAGGACCGGCAGTCCTTAGGGATGGCCTACATGGCTGCCGTCACCACTTACAAAAGGGTCCTGACCTTGAAGGAGCTCACATTCAGAAACAACGTCTGTAGTTTTTATTTTTATATTTTAACTAATTCCATGTCTCGATGAACTTGTTGAGGTCTCCTCGTGCATACAGATGGTCCCCAACTTAGGAGGGTTAACAATGATTTTTCGACTTTATAATGGTGTGAGAGTGACCAGCATTCAGTCAGGACTATACTGCAAACTTTGAATACTGCTGTATTTCTGGGCTAGCAATACAAGGCACAAAACTCTCGCAGTGCTAGGCAGCAGCAGTGACCCTCAGCTCCCAGTCAGGCACACAACCACAAAAGCACACACACAAAGCTCTGCTGTGTACCGTGTGGCCAGAGTCTTCTGGATGAGGGTATTCAATAAATTGCATGAACTCTTTAATACATTATATACACACACTAGGCTTTGTGCTGGGTGATTGTGCCCAACTGTAGACTACTGTAGGTGTTCTGAGCAGTGTAAGGGAGGCCAGGCTAAGGTAAAATGCTCAGTATGCTAGTTAAATGCATTTTGCACTTAACGATAGGTTTATCAGGCTATGATCCCATTGTAAGTCAAGGAGCACCTGTGTATATGAAATTCACATATGACATACATTTGCATATCTGAAACAGTATGTGATATAATAATATAAGCCAAAATGTTAATGGTGAGACTAAGCAAGGGAAGAGGTACTGTTCATTTGTGTTTCCTAATTTTTCTGCAGGAATTCTATGGAGATTAAGTAAGCAGCTCTTGGGGCTCTGTGTACAAATGGCCAGGGGTGCGGGGCTTGGGGACAGGAAGAGCAGCAGATGGCCAGGCAGCCCTCCCCCTGCTATAGGCTGCTCATCAGAACTTCACCTGGGGAAAGCAGCCAAAACCAGCCCCCGTGGCAGGCCTGGATGGGGTTCCTGGCTCCTGGCTTCAGCTAGCCTCAGCCATTGGATTGCAGCATTTGGGAAATGGACCAGCAGACAGAAGATACTACCCACCCACCCACCATCAGTCTGCCTTTCAAATAACTAATCTTAAAGAAAATCCACTGCAGGGCCTAGGGCTCAGCCAAGACCAACTCACCTCCCTGCAGTCAGGGGCCACCCAAGGAGGTGTTCAGCGCTCTGTCCAGGGCCACCCTGTCCCCAAGGAGCAGAACAGAACTAGCAGCAGGGGCTCCTGACCTCCCAGCTGCCTTTGTCATGGCTTTCCTTTTTTGTATTAATTGAAGTAAATTTACTTCAATTAAAAATCCACCACTTTAACTCTTTTAAAGTATACCAACCAGTGGCTTTTAATATATTTGGAGGTTTGCAACTGTCACTACCACCTAATTCCAGAGCACTCTCATTACCCCAGAAAGAAACCCCACACCCATCAGCGGTCACTGGCCATTCCGCCCTCCCAGTGCTGGCCACCATGAGCGTCCTCTCTGCCCCTGTGGGTTTGTCTCTTGTGGCCGTTTCACATACACGGAGACACTCACTGTCTGCCTTCCCGGGCTTGGCACGTTGTCCAGGTTCCTCTGTGCTGCAGGATGGATCAGTTCGCTTCCCTTTACGGCTGAGGCATACCCCACTGTACGGACAGGCTGCATCTTCCAGGGTTAGCCTTTACAGCCATGACCAGGCTCAGACTCATTCATCTCATGGCTCAGCCCACTGGCTTTCCCGCCACGTCTTCCTCCTCCTCTCCACATTCCACCCTGCAGGGGCATTGTCTCCACCCACCCTCCAGCTCAGTGCCTCCAGCTCCCCAGCTCGACCTCAGCACAGCCCTTCCCACCAGAACCCTGTCTCGGGGGCTGGAGTTGGAGCCCACAGTTGCTCGTTGAGTCTGTCCCTTGCACATAGAGATGGAGAGTGACTTGCCCCCCACCTCGCCACCCCTGGCTCACTGACAGGGTGAGGGCAACAGCCCCAACACACTTGCACCAGCTTCAGCCTGCACTCCCTTCTCTTCCTTACCATCTGAGCTGCCATCCAACACAGCCCCATGTTCACTGCCACCTCCGTGGAAAGCCCACCTGCAGCCGCTCTCAGTCACAGACCTCACTCAGTGCTGGGGACCCAGTGGCCCCAGGCTCCCTGAGGGCAGAGAGTAGGACTGCTTCCCCTGCCAGCTTCCCATGGGTGCCAGAGTGCTCCCTCCACACACACACACACAGGACGGCCCCCGACGTGAAGCATGGGGCTGACCAGAGACGAGGCTTACCCAGGAAGTCATCAAAGGAGAACTTGTCGTTGTCCCAGATCTGGAAGACCACTCGCGCTGGGATTTTGCTCTCAGTCTTATCCAGGCTCCAGAAGGCGTCCTGACCCAGAGGGAGAGCAGAGAAGGAAGCAGCCGAGCAAGGTCAGAGCGAGGCAGGGGTCCCTTCCACCAGCAGTGGGGTGGGGTGTCCCTGAGGGCCTTGCCAGAGGCAGGTCCAGGTGGGACCACTTGGGAAGGCAGACCCCAGAAGGCCATATACGGGGTCTGAAAGGTGCCAGACAGGCCCACTTCACACAAGAGGGCTCCTCAGTCCTCCCAATCCTGTAAGTCCAGGTTATCGTGCCCGTCTCACAGAGGATGAAACAAAGGCCTGGAGGAATCTGCCAGACATAGGACAGCGCACGCTGATGCTGCTGAACCTCACCCTTTGTGTGCATCAGCCCCCCTCTGTGATGGCCTCATCTCACCTCCCAACAACCTATGAAGGACACACAGTCTTTACAGCTGAGAAAACCAAAGCCAGTAACTTGTCTGACCCAAGTGGCCAGCTGGGATTCTAACCCAGTAAGTCGGGCTCCAGGGTCCTGCTCTCAACCCTAAACCCTGTTCTGCACATGTGATCTTGGGGTCAGGGTGGGCTTGCTGAGAAACTGAAGGTCCCTCCTACCCTGGATATCAGTAGAAGGCTCCTCCAGCTGTAGGAGCTGGCACTGGAACCAAGAATCCAGGTCCCCCTTCCTACCCCCATCCCACCCTACACTCACGTCCAGGAGGTTGCCCTAGGCAAAGTCAAGGCTAAGGAAGTTCCCAGTCCCCCATGGGAAGGAGAAGGGGGCCCTCCCTTGCCAGCCCCAGCCCCAGCCCCTCACCCCAGCTCTGCCTGGGGACAGGGTCTGCTTGGGTTTCTTCCCAAGAGGCCTCAGGGAGCCTCAGGTGTGGGCCTGAGCCTGTCCTGGGTACAGCCACACTCAACCCACAGTATCATCTCGAGCTTTCCCACAGAGGTTCTCTGTTGTCTCCCCTGCTTGACCTGAGAAGGGAGTGGGGACCAGGTCACAGCAGGGGCCTTGGGAGGAAGGCTCTGTGAGGAATGGGGGGACCCCACTGCTGACCACAGCAGGGTTAGTCTGGCCCTGTGCTGCCCAGCCCAGGCCTTAGCGGCCAGTCACACAGAACCCGCCAAGGCCCCTAATCAAAGACGTGACCCCTGCCCTCTGGGGAATGTCACTGTGCAAAGCACCCAGCCATGGCCTGGACTGCTGCCTCAGGTCCCCAGCTGGCCCCTTGGCCCCAGCCTCCGTCTGGTGCCTCCCCCCTTTCGGGGCCCCAGCTCTCCTGCAGGTGCCTGCCTCCTCTGGCGAGCTTTTATGGGCAGCTCCACAGACTCGCCTGCACGGGCCGCCAGCATCCTCCACTCCTCTGGCCAGCCTGGTTTATGGGCTCAGTAATGAGCCAGAGGTTCAAACAGCCCCTGGTGGGAGCAGCTGGGCCAGGGCTCCAGCCTGGGGAACGAGCCCCCAGGTCCCAGGCGCTCATTACACTCCCTGCCTGGGCCCTTTTACTAGCTGTTTATTTGCAGGGTGGGTGCCTGACGCGCAGGCAGGCCCTGGTGGGTGTGCTGGGCTCCAGGTGGGGAGCCGGCTGGGACAACCAGCGATGGTTCAAAGCAGCCGGATGAAAGGAGACCTTGTGTTTTACGACAGTCTCGTCTGGTTAATGGGGTCCCTGGAGGGCCTGCCTGCCAGAGGCCCTGAACCCCACAGCAGAGGACTGGCTCTGTGGCAGGCGCAGGGAGCCCAGAGGTGGTGCACTGACCTCCCCACCCCACCCCCATCTGGGTCCTGTAGCCCAGGCCAGATAACTGGTGCCCCGCTATGCACATGGCTCCACCTGCGTCCCAGGGTCCCTTCCCCACAGAGCACCCTCCTGGTTCACTTCAGAACCACCTGGGCTCTTACTGTTTCTCCACCGCCTGGCTAGTCTTCATAGCTCTACCCCCACCACACTCTCCCCAGAGCCTGGAACAGTGAGGAACTTCCTGTCCCTTCCTGCCCACCCCTGCAGTGTGCCTCTCCTCCCCTCCCTCACTGCCCTCCTTCCCCCAGGCCCAGTCAGGCCAACTAGCTCCTTCCAGAACCCCTTGGCCCACTGGAAGTCCCCACGCCCTCACCCCCAGGTCAGCCCAGCTCTCCTCTCTGCCTCATGCAGAGATGAAACCTCCCAATGCCAGAATGGAGTGACCCCGAATGCTTAGCCGGGGACCCCAGCCGGCCTCCAGAAGCACTGGGTAGCATTTCTCTGAGCCACCATTGGCTCTTCCTCCTCTGCCCTCTGTCTCTCCATCCTCCCACCCTCTCTCCAAATAACTGCTATTCCCAGCCATTTCACTGATCTCAAATCACCTGCCATAGCTCCAGATTCTCTCCTCTTACCTACACACCCTCCTCCCGCGGCTCCTTGCCACGGCCCACCTGAACAGCCAGACCCGCATCTTGGCCTGGCTTCCCCACCCACGATGAGCTCCCCGCAGGGTGATAATGCACAGGAAGCCTCACTCTCCCTCCTCCATCCCCGGCCCCACCCTCTCCAGGCACAGCAAAGGCAGCGAGGGGTGCCCGTACGACATGCAGCTCCCCGACAGGTGCAGCGCTGGCTCTGTCATGGCAACAGGCTTGCGGCACACAGACACGGTTGACGCTACGAATGGGCTAGCTCTGCTCAGCATCGCAGGACACCTTGCTCAGTTCTGCCATCTGGGAGGTCCCCGGCAGCAATCCCCAGGTGAAAGAATCAGGTTAGCCTTGTTTAATCCACGCGTTCTTTCATCTCACAGCTTCAGAAGGTTCTGTAGAGCCTTCTGGGTTCTCCAAGTGCACACAATCCTGTGTGTGTGTAGGGTGGGGGGTGGGCTGGGAAGATCAGGCAGAGAGGATGTGCTGGGGGAAGGGCAGCCATGGAAAGTGAGGCAACCCAAGGACATTGTGTATTTCCCAGCTGGAGCCACTCCGCCAGCCAGGAGCGAGGGAGGAGTCATAGATAGAAACTTGCAGATCTGAACCCGTGAGCTGCCTTTGGAGGGAGCAGCAGGAGCTAACTATCAGAGAGCCACATGCCCTCTTGAGTAGGGGAGCCCCACAAGGTGGGCATACCAGGGCCAAAGGGGCTGTGAAGTTCCAGCCCCTTGGGAGGAAGGCTCTGCCTGCAGTCAGCTTGGCCGGCCTCCCAGCCCCGGGATCTTTTCCCAAACGGCAGGCCCTATACCATCAGCTCTGCCCTCCTGGAGAGGGTCTACAGCCCAGGAAAGAGCTGCCCCAGGAGATACTGCCACCACAGACCCAAGTCCCCAAATCCACCTCACCCCGACACTACCAGGTCTCCCCAGGCGCCTTCAGCCTGGGCAGAGAGAAGAGGGCAATTGATGGCTTCAGGCCTCATGGGGCAGGGTCACTCCCAGTGACTTCCAGCTTGCATGGCAAACACAGGCACCAAAGATTCAGGAAACATGGCAGAGGAGGGCCTCAGCCACCCGACCCCCAATCTGTGGACAGCCTAATCTGCGCACCAGGCCCATCCTCCTGGGAAGCTCCCCCAGCCCCGGTGTTGGCCAGGCTGGGTTCCCACTCTGCCCGATGGGACTGCAAGCCCCGCCCTGCTGTCTGTCTTGAACAGAAAAGCAACGGACTCAGTGGCTTACGATGGTTGTGGCCCTGGTGGGTCTGGCACAGCCACAGTGCTGCTGGTGGCAAAGACGGGAGAAGAGGCGAGAAGAGTGTGTGTACAGAGATGGTGGTGGCAGCAGGGATGGGAGTGTGAGCGCGTCAAGAAAGACGGGGCAGTGTGGTGGTGACGGTGGCAGTGATGGGACAGCATGGTGGTGGCGGCAGCAGTGTGGTGATGACAGCGGTACTGGCATGATGCTGCATGGCAGCGGGGTACCAGTGAATTGTGACAGTGGCCAGGCGGTGACTGTGGGGGGTGGGATCACGTTGGCTGATGTCAGAGATCCTCGGGGCAGGTGACCTCAGAGGCAGGACGCCACTCACCTTCTTGGTGACGGTGCAGACCTGCTCAGCCGGCAGGTAGTCAAAGGGGAAGACGAACCTCCAGTTGAAGTTGCCCTCTCCGCCCAGCGAGCGGTAGTGCACGTCCGTCTTCTGCCTGTGCTCCTCCAGGCCCACCATCCAGCTGCAGACAGGGGTGCAGAGGCTGTAGCTCAGACCCGATCCCACCCCACACGCACCCTCAGGTCAGGGTGGTGGGAATGCAGAAGGCAAACAAACGCAGTGAGTAATGTCACCAGTCTTGCCCCTAGGGGACCTCCCCAGGATACAAAAGGCACCATGAACATGACAATATTCTAACTTCTCAGCCACGCCTGGGGGCTTCCTCCCAGCCAGTCAGGATAAGAAGGCAGAAGAAATCCATCAGTAGGAGTCATCCCCCAAGCGAAGACCACCCTCTAGGCCTCCTCTGGGGCGCAGGACGACTCCCCTTACCCTTTCACGTAAATGTCGCTCATCTTCTCCCCCGTGATGCTGAGGTCGTCCAGGATCACATCTTTGGTGTTCCAGATAACGCAGCGCAGGAAAAACCTGCAGAGCACAAGAAGCACCCACACTGCTCAGATCTGGCAGAAGGCACAAAGGCCTTGGCCAGCTCGTCCAAGATGGCTGGACGCTCGGCCAGGCCCAGCCCAGAGCTGTGTGGACTCTCAGGCCATGGCGGCCCAAAGCCCCACCCCACCCAGAGCTGGCTGCAGCGGCCCCCACACCCCCCCCTCCGCCCCACCCCGGCTCAGCTTGGCGCCTGTGGCTGAGGTCACCTCCTGGCTCTCCGTGGGGTGATGTTGAAGGGGGGTCCAGGTCGCCCCAAGGCCTTCGGGAACAGGTCTATCCACATCTGCAGCTTCCCCTGGGGAAACACGCACCATTCCCTCGTACCCATTCCACCCGTCCGGCCGTCACCAAGGGCCTTCTCTGGGCCAGAGGCTTGGGGTGTGGGACAGAGACCAGGCCCCACAGCCCCAGGCAGGGGGTCACAGGGCTGGTGTGGAGGTGAGTCCCACTGTCCTAGGGGAGCCCACCCCACTGCAAGCCAAGTGCAGTTCTTGTGCCTATCTTAGAGAAGGAGCAGCGGTCGAAGTGACTCCTCCCTGGTCACAGACACAGAGGACAAAAGAGATGAAGTTGCAAAGCCGTGCAACAGTGGGGTGGCTGGAAGTCAGACCCTGAGGGCCAGGGCGCACTTAGCTCCAAACAACGGGGCTGACGGCCCCTGCCCATTCACAGAGACGGCTCTCCTGGGCCTTCTCTTGGCCTGTAACCTCTGTTCTCCTCCTCCTCCAAAAACCCAGCTCTGTGCTCCCTCCTCCACGAGGCCTCCCGAGCTGCTCTCTGCACTCGCCTACCCTACACAGGAGGATTCTCTTGCTCCCTCCCGACAGCTGCTCTCTGTGGTTCCCCGGCCATTTCCTCCCAGCCATCCTATCTGAACACCTCGCCATGGACCAGTACAGGCCTGGCCCACTGAGGCTGACTGGTGGCAGTGGGACAGGGAGCCCCTGGGTCCAGGGTGGAACAGCAAGGCCTCATGTGATGGCGGAGGGGGCTGGAGGCCCCTACAAGGGGATGAAGACAGCTCATAGACTTGGTCGCGGGTCCTGGAAGCAGCCAGGGAGACCAGGCCCTGGAGACCTCTCCCGGGTACACAGTGACCACCCAGACTGAAACAACAGGCCACGGGGGGCATGGCCGGACCCTAAGCTCCCCGCTGGCTTCCATGCTGTCCTCAGGGTGGGGCTCACTGGGGTTCAAGGACTATGGGGTCATGGGGTCGAGATCCGACCTGTTCGATGTTGGGCTGCAGGGGGCTGTAGAGGGGCCGCGACTCCACGTGCTCCGGAACCAGGCCCTGCTGCTGGAGGACGTGCAGAGCCAGGCGCTCCTGCACTGGACCCAGGTGGGGGTTCGGGATTCTGCCAGCCTCTGCCCAAGGAGAAAACAAAAGGTTGCAGAAGCCGAAGGGTAAGAGACAGTGGGGCTGCCTGGGGGCCACAGGAAGCCCTCGCTCCCCAGCCTGGCCACACCCATTCGCTCTTCATGTCTAGCTTTCCATAGGGAGCCTTGTTGTCCGTGGGCTCCTGGCTTAAGATCAGAGACTCCCTACTGCAATCACTTCCACCAAGCCTCTTCTGGAAAGTTCTTCCTTGTTTCCACCAATACCAATCCTTCCTGTCCCACGAGGCCCACCCTTCCCGATTGCTTGCAGCCGGAAGCCTCAGCGACCTCTGCCCCAGGCTGGCATCTCAGAGGGGTCACGCCTGTAAGTTGCTCTGTTAGCAGCAGCAGCAGCGACAGCACACACTTCCAGAGCAGGGCTGTGTGTGTACAGGCACTGCTCCACATCGACACCTGCCACTCCCGTTAGGCCCCGGAAGCTAAGGGAGGGCTCTCACCATCCCCATCTTACATGCTGGGAACTCTGGAGCATAGCAGCGCCTCCCAGCCCGCCACGGGCCCCCACTGCTCTCTTAGGAAAGGCGACACATGGCACGGCTGCCCCTTTCTCTTTTGTTTCCCAACACAGCACCTGGATCGAGGATGGGGCCCTCAGGTGGGGAGAGGAGCCGGGGTGCTCCTCACCCTGAGAAGCCTGGATGGCTGTTTAGCAACATGAACTCAGAGCGCCCTGTGACAGAAGACCTGATGGCGGTGGGGGTTCACGTGCAGCTACACACACACACACACAGGCACGCATACCTCAGCTGTGCCCTTGTGCACCAGCATCCACACCCGTCCCCCAGCATGCCTGCTCTGCCACCTGAACAGGGGCCCCAGAGGGAGAGGCATGGCTGCCTGAGCAGTCCGGCCCTGCTCGTAGCTAGCTGGCTGACTCTGGACAGGCTGCGAATCACTGGTAGCCTTCAGGGACTCACCTGCCCGGGCAGACAGACGTGGGACTGCTCTGCCCTTAGCTCTCTGTTTCCTATGGATTCACGATCCTGAGCCCTGGCCCCTGTGCTAAAGCTGCCCACAGAAGGAAATGAAACTACTCCCCCAAAACAGACACACACCGTGTGGGAGAAAACGGCTGTGAGTCAGGTGGAGGGAAGGGATGCTAACGGCCAAGTCTGGCTCAGCCGTGACCTGGAAGGATTAGGAAAACAGAAGGGGGTGGGAGGAACCTGGGGTTGGGGGCATCAAAGCCATCGTTTCCCCTTCATAACCTCGGCTCCAGCTCCAACATCAAACATCTTTGAAACAGGAGGCGAGGGGCCACCTGGGCCTGTAAACACCTGCAGGGAGTCTGGGCAGCTCTGGGTGGGCGAGGCCAGTCTGTGGCACCCCCGGCACTCAGAGAACATGTGGCAGGACCCACAGCACTGCGCAGCCGGGGGCCCCACAGGCCTGCTTAGGTGCGTGGCTGTGTACCCGAGGAGCCCAGAAGGTGCATCAGTGACAAGCTGGTGCCCTGGGGCGGACAGAAAACTGTTCCTCAGAGGTAGCCCACACCCCAGCTCCAGCTAGGAGGAGACAGATCCTAGCTCTGGCCCTGACTCAGCCCTTTACTTGCCCGGATGGTCCTGAACCTGGCCTTGGACTGACCCCTGAGCCTGACCCTTCAGACTCCTGATTTCCACAGCGGCATCCCAGGGGAGCGAGCTTAGCCCATGCACGCTGCCCCAGAAAGATCCAGGGCAACCCTGCTGACGTGGAGTGTGTCCGTGTGGCCCTCTGTGACGTGGGCAGGCCTGCAAGAGAAGAGGAGGGAGAGCCCTCCATGGCACGGGGCCATGTGCCAGCTCACCTATGTCCTCAATGGTGTACTCTTTACCCTGGAAGGTCACGTGGTCTGTCCAGTACACGGGGGCCTTGACTCGGTGCTGCTGGCAGAAGAGGTGGAGGAGCTGGGAGGGGCGGAGCTGGTCCCTCCACTGGTTTGGTCCAGAGCTGAAGTCCAAGCACACAACAAAGATGAAGCACTCCAAGGGTGCTGAGCAGGGCAGAGGGGCGCACAGTGACCTGGACCCCCCACACCCCCGCCCCATGCACAGCCTCACCCACCCTTCACAACGCCAGCAGTCACGTGCCATGACTGGGTATTCCCATTTCACGGATGAAGAAACTGAGGCCCAGAGAGCTAAGGACTGGTCTGCATGCATACAGGATTGGAAGTTAAATGTTTCCAATTTCCAAAGCAGAGACTTAGACCCAAACAGACCCCAGATGGCAGAAGGGGGCACTGTCCACACCTCTTCCTCCAACAGACTGTCACGCATCTCCCCTTACAGCCCCGTCAGCACCCATGTGTCCCACTGTGTGTCTCCCTTCCTCCTTTCCCTCCCTCTCCAGGCCTCAGTGATACATGAAAGGAAGCTAGATTATAACCTGAGGGGAAGCCAGGTTCTTAGAGTCACAGCTTCCTCATCTGTGGAGTGCGGACAAAACCCTCAATGGGCTGAGTGCAAGAACGCCCGAGAAGGGCTAAGCCCTGGGATGGCCCACAGCAAGTGCTCAGGGTGCATGGGAGAAGTCAGCTCACACACGTACATGCAATAAGTCTGTGGGAGGCCACAGCGAGCCCCAAACTTGGACAGCAGCCTGTTCTCCAGGTCGATGACCGTCTCCCCGATTTTCTCATCCTTGGAGAGGAGGTCATAGTCATAGAGAGCGACCCTCAGGTCCTTCTCCAGGGGCAGGGTGCAGGTGAGCTCGAACATCCTGCAGGAGGAGCCACGGTCAGCACACGCCCAGCTCCCCCACGTCCTCAGACACGGCGGGAACTCAAGCAAGTGGCGGGGCCAGGACAGGCCCCAAGAGCCATCCCAGCAGGTCCACTTCCTCAGCCGTCCTGCGGCCCTCAGAGCAACCACCCTGGGCTTTGCTGAGTGTGTGCGAGGTTTCCCGTACACCGGGCTGATGCCTGACGGGCCACAGCAGGAAAGCAGGAGTTGGAGCAGAACCTTAAAGCCGAAGTGCTCCCCGTGTCACCAGGAGACACGAGATGTGACACTCCAGAGCCATGCGTCAGAGCTCTGGAACTCACACCAAGGGAGTGGCCTGGAACCCACTTTCTGGACTCTTGGGGCTTCACGTCTGCTTCCAGGGTGGGGTGTGAAAAAGATGTCTTTGAAGAGAGCCCCCCTGCTGCGTCTGAGACCCTCACCTTCCATGGGGGCAGAAGCAGGGGCATTATTTCCTCTCCCCTTGAGATGAGCTGCCTGTAGGTGGGAGACCCAAGGCCGGTGCCTGACTCCCACTCAAGACAGCTAACGTGGTTTGTGGCAAAGAGGAGGAAGGAGGGGCCCAGTTCATGGCTGGGCAAGGACACGGGCTTCACATGCAGGAGAAAGGCCACCGTGAGGCCAGACTCGAGCTGTTCTGGCTTCTGGTCAGAGGGAGCTCCACGAGTTCCAACAGCCAGAGACTCTGAAGTAGACCACCCAACGGCCAGGAGCTGCGGGGCGTCCAGCTAAGGGCAGGCGGCATCCACCATAGCCCAGGAGGTGCAGAGGGAGGGCTCCGAGGGGCTCTGAGCGGAAGCTCCAGAAAGCACCCACAAGATGATGAATCAGCTTGAAGCACCCGACATCCAGAGTGCACAGACAACAGGGCAGTCGGCAGATGAAATGCGCCCCTTCCTCAGGGTGAGCTTCCTGGCCCAGGCCGCACAGCAGTCACCGATGTCGGCGGCTGGCTCAGCCTCCTTCCGTCCACGCACTCACCCCTTGACAAAGGACCTGGCTAGGGAAGGGGAAAGGGAAAATTCTCTCCTGCAAAGTCACCTGGGTGCTTGCGGATGCACGTGAATGGGCACTGGCTTCAGCCCTGAGAAGGTGGGTCTGTGACTCAAAGTGGCTGAGGGGAAAGAGAGAACAGCTGCCCACTGGCCCCAGCATCCCCTTGGGCAGAAGGGCAGGTCACCCACCCCACCCCACCCCCCACCAGGAGTGAATGTTTACAGGGTCCTGGCAAAGTGACCACAAAGTCGGGTTTTGATTCTGTCTCATGAGCTGTGCTTATTCAATCCAGGGACTGGAGAATGAGCCTCCGCTGCGAGGGGAGGGAGGCTCAAGCATGGCCACGCTTTGGGGTGATGGGAAACAGGCACGAGAGGGGCTTTTCTGCACGCACGCCCTCACCTGCCCAGCCCTGACATCATGCAACAGCCTGCCTTCCACCCCTCCCCAGTGCACTGCCCCATTTCCATGAGCCCTTGGTGCTCACTGAACAGAGTTCCTGTCTCCCACCTGCTGAATTCCCTCCAGCTCCAGGGCGGTGGTGGCCCATCACCGGCCAGGATTGGTGCCCCTTCAAGAATGACATTTCTCCAGGCTGACAGGCCCTGGGTGCAGGGCTGAGTGACCACAAGGAAGTCCACAGACACTGGCCGTGAATTCTCTATGTTACTTCATGATACGGCAAAGCCAGGTGCGGTCTCCCACTACTCTCCCTGGGAGCCTACCCTGCCCTGTTCTGAGCTTGCAGAATCATCGTACTATCCTGGCTCCACATGCTTCCTTAGCTCTCCACTATGGACACACAAGGAACTCTAAAAGAAATACTGACTAAATGCAATGTGGTACCCTGGGTGGCATCCTGGAACAATAAAAAGACATACGTTGGATCCTGATAAAAGCCTGCAGTTTGGTTAGCGGTAATGCACCAATGTCATTTTCTTCATGTTGACAAATGTGCCATGGTTAGGCAAGATACTAATGGTGGAGGAAATGGGGCAAAGGCTGTGCCATCTCTGTAACTTTTCTGTAAATGTAAAATAATTCCAAAGAAAAAGTTCATCCAAAAAACAAGGCAGAATTAGCAAATGCCTCCTCTGAGCGTCCATGGAGACTCCTGACTTAGACGTAACCTTGTGTGCTTACCTAGGAGCTTCCGCCAGAACTCGAGCCTTTAGCACAAGGAGAAGTGGCTGAGGCGGCCACATCTCCCCCACTCGACTGTGGCCTGTCCGCATAGGATCCTCCCTCCCAAGACCCAAGCTGTCCCCAAATTACTTTCCAAACACAGGCTCCAGGGTGCAGGGGATGTAGTTGTCCTGGTCGCTCACTGATTCCTTCCCTACGGAGATCTTGATGTAAGGATCACACTGGGGGAGGAGACAGAAAACGTGTAAGTGAAACCCCTCTCCCAACACATCCCTAGGACTTCTGAAGGCCATCGGGAAGCTGCCACGTGCACTGTGTCCTGCCAGCCAGGAGCCTTGCCCTGCATACCACACCACATGGCCCTGGCGTGGGCTTCTAAGCTCAGCCGCAACAGTGGGAATGGGGTGCCTAAGGGTGGGTGGGACAGGCTCCACCCTCAGAAGCACCAGTCTGTATGATTTACATGGGCAGGCCAGACTGGGCCCTCTCTGACGCTGCTGCTTAAGCAGGTAGAGAGGGAGAGAGCTGGTCAGACTGTGCCCACCTAGGCCAGCCCAGAATGTTCTCCCTGGAAGCTTTCAGCCAGCTTCCAGGAGCAGCTGAGATGGGAAAGGAAGAAGGGCTGGCCCAGCATTGAAAAGACCAAATGGTTACAAACCAACTCGTTGGTCTGAAATGTGAACCAACATACTGGCCACAAATTCTTCCCAGAAGCTATCGGTGGGCCGGGGCTGAGGATTGCTCTATTTAACTTTGAAATTCAGCACTATAGATGCATCGCCAGCCTCTATCCATCACCTCAAGGACACATACTGTGTCTAAAATGTTAAGATATGTACCCTAGTTTTGTGCCTCCAAATTCCAGTGGTCCACACCCCTGCCTTTCCTCTCTCTCTCTCTTCCCCCTGCCCTCTCTCCCTCTCCCCTTCCATTCTATCCCTGCCACTCCCTATGCCTCCAGACTCCTTCCCTCCTTCAATCCTTCTCTCCCATACTGGGCCAGAACTAGGGAAACAAGAGCTGAGGCCCAAGCCTCAGGCACAAAATTTGAGAGCCAAAAAACTCAGCAATCAAGACAATGTTTCAATGAAATATTTTAAAAATGTAAACCAATGCTAATAGTCTGTGATGAACTAAATATCAGAACTGTGAATAAAGACAGAGTGAGTAATACTGGACTTTCCTCTTGCCTCTGGCTTAGGAGTTTCTAATCCTGCTCCCTCCCTTCTGTGCATCTGTGCCAGTGAAAGCCCTCCACAATCCAGTCCCAACCTGAACCTTCAGCCTGACTTACGCCCCATCCTTGTTCTACATACACAGGACACAATCTTCCAAATCTTTGCCTATGCTTCGACTCTTCTGAAAATGATAATTTTTTTTAATCCTTAAGAGTTATTTGGGAAACCTCCTGCATCTGTCCAAAGTCCTTCAGCCTTCTCCAAACTCCTAGAGAACTTGGTCCTTGATGGAACTCCGTCCTGCCCCATCTGGTTTGTCTGGTTTCCCCAGTTTGCTGTGAACTCACTGGGGTGGAGACTGTGGCCAGATGCCACAGGCCATCTGTTCCTACACCCCCTATTCTGGTGAAGGTAAGGGTTCTAGACATGTTACCTTCCCGTTGGGGTCCTTGGGCTGCAGGCCAAAGGCACGGACGATGTAGATACGGACCAAGCACTCCTGTGGCCCCTGGGCAGCCAGCTGGTGGAACTGTCTGGGGGGCATGGGGATAGCTGGGTCTTCTGGGAGTGGATAAATTTTGAAGAGGCCCTGAAAACAATGAGGGGTTCACTTTTTATTTTGCCATCACTGTCACCGACACAATCACCGTTATGACCATCACACTCATCTCTATGAGAGTCATTGCTACAGCGATCACCCAGCCCATCGCCGCTCCACCACCGTCAGATTCTGCAGCAGCGGCAGCACTGCCGCCAGCATCAGCACCACGTGACCAGTGTCGTTGCCACGCCTCTCCCTTCCCCACCTAGTGCTGTAACAACAGTCCCAGGGCTGCCTGGGTTAGGGATGCTTCCTCGAGGACTTACCTTGAATTCCCCAATGACAGACGGATCTTCCACCTCTTCCTGAGTCTTGCCCCGGTAGAGCTTGAAGGTGTTACAAAAGTCAGACAGGCCCTCGAAGGCCTCCACATTCTCCAGCTGGGTGTCATAGACCTGCCACACGGTGGGGATGAGGGATGAGGACAGGAGAGGAAGTAGAGAGGCAGCAGAGGAAGAGGGAATGGTAAAGGAGGTGAAGGGTGACAGCATGAGAGGGAAGGAGAGGACACAAAACAGAGGAGGAGAAAATGAGGAAAGAAAACAAAGCACAAAGGAATGGAGGCCAGGAGCATGGGGTTGGGGAGGTCAAGAGGTGAGAGAGAAAGTCAAATAAGGAGCAGTGGCACCAGTCAAAGACAGGCTTCTCTGGTCAATCAAATACCCTGGATATGGGAGAGCTGTCGCATCCATGCGTGTTACAGTTTTAGGGGACCAAGATCCCAAACAAATGAAAAGTTGACTGTATTTTAATTTGAAGACAGAGATACAGCTCTGAAAAATTAACAGGTCAGCATTTCAAGCAAAAATGCTCACTGTTCAGTATGTCCAATGACAATGGTATCAAATATCAGGTCTGGTATATGTTCTGAGAAATACTTTATAGCCAGTCATTTTTATTTATTAGGGCAGTGTTTTGGAATTGCTTAGGCTTAAGTGAATCCAGTTTTTTTTTTATTTTAGATAATATAATGTACCCAATAAATATTAATATTAAATTGGTTAATATACACGCTGACTCTCTCACCTTTATAATATTATTTCTCATTTAGACCCGGTTTAAGTTCTACCTCTCCTGTGAGGCCCAAGGTCCACCTCTTTTAAGAAATATTTTATTGTGCAAGTGATATAGGATATCAAAAATTAGAAAATCTAATCAAATATAAAGAAAGAATGAATGCTGACAAATTCTGATTCCACAAAATAACTAGTTATTTAGCATTTGGTAAGTGTCCCTTTGAACAGTGTACACAGACACACACACACACACACACACACACAAGGACTTCAAAAATTTCATGGAAAATGGAATTCAAAGTAGCATTTTTGATGCAAAAAAGTTCAACTTCACATATTGCTTTTAGAGTATAAATTTTCTATGAACTTGCTGGAAACTCTTCATATATATAATTTCAAAGTTTTTTGCACCAAAATAAGCTTATCCTTTAATTCCATTTTTCCGTGAACTTTTAAAGTATCAGACTTCAGGCCGGCGCCGCGGCTCACTAGGCTAATCCTCCGCCTAGCGGCGCCGGCACACCGGGTTCTAGTCCCGGTTGGGGCACCGGATTCTGTCCCGGTTGCCCCTCTTCCAGGCCAGCCCTCTGCTGTGGCCCGGGAGTGCAGTGGAGGATGGCCCAGGTGCTTGGGCCCTGCACCCCATGGGAGACCAGGAAAAGCACCTGGCTCCTGGCTCCTGCCATCGGATCAGCGCGGTGCGCCGGCCGCGGCGGCCATTGGAGGGTGAACCAACGGCAAAGGAAGACCTTTCTCTCTGTCTCTCTCTCTCACTGTCCACTCTGCCTGTCAAAAAAAAATAAAAATAAAAAAAAATAAATAAATAAAGTATCAGACTTCAAAACATTCATAGAAAAATGTAATTAAAAGATGGGAATTTAAAAAAATAAGCTCCCTTTCTCAACAGAAGCTCCATCAAGTTCAAGACACTTTTGTAAGGCAGGATACAAGCCATTCAGGGCACTGCTGAAGAGGTGAGGGTCCTGGGCGTTTAACCAAGTTCTGCAGTACTTTTCACAAGTCTGCCTATTTAAGTAGCCATTCATCTATGTTCAGTAAGCCCGTGTATGTTTATCTGCTTTATCTCACTTTTTAGTTGTCTTCGCAGAGACTCCAATTGTGCAGATGTTGGGTCTCCTCCCCGCTGACTTTCCCATAGATCATTTACTCTTCACTCCTCTACAACTTCCCCTTTGCTTCCATCTCATGTTGCTTTCTACTTTCTGTCCTCCAGGCCCCTCCTTATACTTCCTACATGGCCACTCTGCCCAGAAATGCTTCCAGTTTCACATCTGCTTCTCTTTCCCAAGTCCCACACTTCATACTTCTTGTGGCCACTCATCTAATCATTCTGTAAGCATTCTTTTATTTCTGCTTGCCTTCTGACTGCCCAGTTTTAAAAAGTTCACAGCTAAACATTTTCCCTCTTCTGTTCTTTGGTAATTTTTTTCTGGTGCATATATATCTTTTTTCTAGTAAATTTTCACTTGTACTTTGTGTGTGTGCATGTGCAGGATGTTTAAATTACCACTGTGCCGTTTCTGACTTCTTGTCACAATTCCCTCTATTCCCACCACGAAGACAGACTGCTTCCTTCAAACATGGCTCATCTGTGTGATGCTTGTGTAGCTCCACCATCTCTGCTTCTCTGGGTCAACCTAGGTCTAGGAGATGTCTGTCGTCTCCTGAACCTGCTCCAAAGTTCTCAGATCCACTGTTCTAAATAAGGAAGCTAATACCAATGTTTCATGGTGAAACCTCAATTTTGGGAGCTATATTTTAAAATCTTATTATGAATATTCTCAGGCACTCACAAAAGAAAAGAGAACAAGAAAATAAACCCCCATGGGCTCCTCATCTGTATGAAAGAACCATCGATATTCTTCTATCAGGAAGCCTAGCGTTTGTGGGGCTTTCTGAAACCAGCTGCCTCAAGGGCCTTCCATCATTCTCATGCATCTTCTCTCCGTTTACTGTTGAGTGGCCTCTACCCAATCCCGCCTGTCTTTGGGCAGCCCTTACATATATTTTGGAGTCTGTGGCTTTCATTTGTTTCCAACTTTTCTGAAAAATGAATTTTGTGGGTTTGAATGATTTCCAACAGAAAAGGGGAAAAATGCTGACTTATGCAGCCATGTTCATACTGGAAGTCCCGATAAAATACTTTATAATTTCCAAGTGGTTGGACTTTTTGTTTAAACTTTGATTATTAATTTCTCATTTTATTGCATTTTAATCTGTCTTGTATGATTTCTGATTTTGGTAACATTACTAAACTAATATGTGATCAAATTTTGAAAGTGTTCTCTGAGCATTAGGAAAAAATGTACTCTATTTTTTATTTTCTCAATTTCAAAGCTAGAATTTTAGCTTCATGTAAAGTGACAATTTTAACTTGACATAGCTTACAAAAACATTTACCTTGTTATTCAGATCTTCTATTTCTTTATTTATTTATTGCCTGCTTACTTGGTCAAGGAGGAATGTGCATCAAAATCACCCCTGCAACTTTCATTTCTGTCATGATGTTCTTTTAATTCTGTGAGCTACTGGTTTATATATTTCTCTCTAATTTTGGTGTTAGAATTTCTAAGCTTTGGGGGACTTTTCATTGATATGGATATCTTTCATTTAAATCAAATGCTATTTTGTTTCCTTTGCTTTAAGTTAAATTCTATCCACTTCCCTTTTGTTTGCCCAAGTATTTATTTTTCAGCCATCCTATGCTGTGTTGTTCTAGATGTGCCTTTTAAGGACAACATGACTCTGGCTCTTGATGTAATCTGAGAGTTCTTATCACTTAATGGAGAAGGTTAACCTACTTTCATCTATTAAGAAAGCAAGGGTTTTGTTCCTTTTCTATTGCGTTTGTGCATGCGTCCTTGCTACCTCTTGTATCTCCAACACTTTGCCGTTTGGATTATGAGTTGTTCTTTCTCACACTTGTAACTTCTAAACTGTGTTCTCTCCTCCACCCACCACGTGCCTGATTCTCTCCATCATGCTGCTGGCTGTTTCTCAAAGACCTGTGCTGGTGGTGGTGGTGTTCTCCCACTTCCTTGTCCTTAAAGAACCAACGTCCCTTCTAGGCCTAGTTTCGCCCCAGCACCATCTGAATGCATTTTGCTCTCTTGAGCCTATTCTCACTTGGATGCTGTCAGAGGCCACCTCAGAGAGGTCAGGCCGGAGGGCCGGGTGCCAGCTACACATCCGGTATCTGGGGAGGAGAGAGAGAGGCCAGGGCCAGGGCCATGGGGCCACCATGGCAGGAATCATCATTCTTGCTTGTTTTTTTTCATATTTTTGGCAAGGCCACAGTACCACATGCCAGACCTAATGTGTCGGACCTTCTTCCTGGTACACAAATAGTTCTGTCTCTGTGCCCGACCTCACATGCCCAACTCCCGAGGCAATGAAGAACATGTTGCTTGAGGCTTGCCCTTGCTGCCTGTGGCCTAGTCTCTGAGCAGCCAGGTGTCCAGCAACAACTCACCAGACAGCCTCCAGCGCAGGAGAGCCAACAATGCCCACCCAGGGAGATCGCCCGGTACAGTCCCCGAGGGCTCTCGGCCAGCAGCATCAGCGAGAGCCCAGGCCCAGCTCGCCTCACCTCTCACTCATCCAGTCCCCTACGGGGCTCCAGGGGGCTTCCCAAGGGTCTAACATCCTGGGCTCACCACCCGTTCTCTCTTCCCCATGCCTGGGCAGTAACCGTGGGGTTCAGAGTCTCCCCCACTTGTGTTTCCAGAAACACCAAGTGAAAATACAGAGCATCCATTTATACAAGGGACTCTTCAGAGAAATTTCATAGAAAATGCCCGTTAGGAGTTCTGTGCATAGAGTTCAAAAAACCTTTGCACCCAAATAAACAGCTTCCAATTTCATTTTTCTACAAAGCTTTTTAAATACCCTCATATTTGAATTTCACCTAAAATTATGAGGAATAATTTTAGATAAGTATGTCCTACCTAATGTTTGAAGCACATTTATACCAAAAATGTATTCATTATTTACCTGAAACTCAGTGTAACTGGGCATTCTAAATTTTGTCTGGCAACCCTATTCTGGAGATTATACAACTCTTTGGGAAGAATTTTTGAGTCACTTCTGGCTATCTTTTTAAAAACTAGTTCACTTTCAAAATATTGAATTGTACTGTAGAATTTCCTTAAAATATTAGAATTTGGGTGGTTCAATTCTGATTCTTTTTACAGAAACAGAGTTTATCATAGTTTTATATTTGCTAGGTAAGTTCTGCCCCAATTTTAGGGGCTGGGCGGGAGAAGGGGGAGGTCAGAGGTACAGTCTCAACTGACTTTCCTTTTCAATATAAATTTCCCATTATAGCAAATTTCAAATAATATTGAAAGAGAACAGTGAGGGGCCGGTGCTGTGGCGTAGCAGGTAAAGCTGCCGCCTGCAGTGCCAGCATCCCACATGGTCACCAGTTTGAGTCCTGGCTGCTCCACTTCCCATCCAGCTCTCTTGCTGTGGCCTGGGAAAGCAGTAAAAACTGGCCCAAGTCCTTGGGCCCCTGCACCTACGTGGGAGACCCGGAGGAAGCTCCTGGCTCCTGGCTTTGGGTCAGCGCAGCTCTGGCCGTTGTGGCCAATTGAGGAGTGAACCATCGGATGGAAGACCTCTCTCTCTTTCTTTGCCTCTCCTGTCTCTGTGTAACTCTTTAAAATAAATAAATAAATAAATCTTTAAAAAATAAAAAAAGAAAGAGAACAGTGAAACAAATCTCCAAGCTTTATCAATTTCCACTGTTTTGCAACTTTAAACCTTTCAATCATTTGAAAATCTGTCAGTGGGTTGCTCACACCAATCTGTCTTCCTAGTTCCTTGTTCAGGGGACAGTGAGTGCTTCTTAGGGGGCAGGGAGGATTTTGATCCCAGGTATAATTTCAGATTTTTTTTAGCACTTTCCAGAAATACTTTCTTGGTTATCACAACCCACACCAACTTCTTGCTCTAAATTGATGGCGTAGCCTTTCTCACCCCAATTAGATCATCAGAACTCGTCACCCTTGGGCACCAAATGACATCGATATATGTATGGGTATGTTTACATATATGTGTAAATTTGTACGCACAAACATGAGTATACCACAAATACACATATGTGTTATGTGTGTATATATGAATATACCATATACATGAGTGTATCACACAGGCCTATGCATATACATGCAATACAAGCATATATCATACATACATGAGTATCAGACAGAGACAAACATGATTATACTATACATATACGTGAGTATACTACATTTACATACATACATGAGTATCTTACATACATATATACATGAGTATACGATGTATATCCATGAGTATACTAAATACCTACACATACATGAGGATATGCATAAAAACAACACACGAGCATATCACATTTATACTATATACACATGTACATGGAGAATAGCATGTATTCACACAAGCACACCGTATTTGTACGTGAGCACACACAAGAGTACAGCATTATCCACATGGAACACATGAGCACACAACAGTTATATACGCCCATACCATATACATACATACACAGGAGTCTAGCACGTGTTTACCTGGAACACACAAGCGCACACAGTTGCACATAGGACACATTCCCCTCCTGTGGGGCCTCACCTTTAGTGTGTCAAAATCCTTCTCCAAGTAGGAGCCACACTTCTCCCTCTCCCCTGTGGAGGCGAAGAATTTGCTCCACCAATCGATGAACTCTTCTTCCTGAGTGCAGAGACAGAGATGGCTTAGGAGACAACCTGCAAGTAGGGCCCTTCTGAGTAAGAGTCCCCAGAACCACTGGCCGGCCTGCACTCCAATGCCGGCCTGCTGGGGGAGCTCTGGGGCAGGGAGCAGACTCCTCAGGGGAGGTTTTAACACCCAGTGGGCCTGGGAGGCATGGGCTCTGCCCCCATTTGCTGTGTGCTTCTGTTAAGCTCTCAGGCCTCCTTCTTCTGTTCCGTGAAGTGGGCATCACCATCACGGTACCCCCTATATCCCAGGGACACGCTGAAGCTAAAACCAGAGGATACGCAGGGTAACTCTAGGGGAAGAACCGATCATGTGGCTTTTAATGAATAAAATGCAGCAGATCCAGCGATGCCCAGACCCAAACGAGCCATCTAGACCTGCTGCCCTGGCAAGAAAGGAAGCCCTGGGAATCAGAACTCAGCTTCCCGCAAGGCCAGTCCAGGCAGAGACCCTGAAAATCCACAAATACCAACTGCCCTTTATTCAAAGCCGCTGCCAGATGGGGGGAATTCGGAGAGATGAAAGGGCGTCTGTGACAGCACGCTCTGCCCCTGCCTTCCTCCAGTCACTCGTATCTGCAGGAAGATGTGGCCAGGCCCATCGTGGCAAACACTGGCTCCCCACCTCTCAGCTCCTGCTCATGGTATTTCCGTGGGTCTTCTCAGTTTTGGGGCCTACACCCTCCTTCAGCCGTGTCCTGTCATCCGGACATTCAGCAAGCTCCCTGAAGGTGGGATGCTCACTCCTCCCACAGCTGCCCTGGAACCGCCCCCACCACGCCCCCCGGTAAGGCTGGGCACTGGCTCTGTGTCCACACCACTGCAGCTGCTCTGGTTCAGTGGGAAGGCACAGGGTGTCAGGAGAGCCCCTCTGAACTCGCTTTCCTCCTCTGTGAGAGGCTGGGCTACCGCATCCCCCAGGAGTCTGCTCTAATTCTGTGAAATGAGCTGGATGCCTGCTGCTGCATTTCTGAAAATGCTGGCGGCCCCCTTTGAGCCAAGGTGAGTCCTAGTTCCCACAGATGAAGGACAGGCACAAGCTGGAGCCAGGCCCAGGGCACTGGAACAGGCACCAGGGAGAGGGCAGGATGAGGATCCCAACATCCTTGTGTGGTCCCAACATCCTCGTGTGGCCACCAGACGCAGAGCAGCACGGGAGCACCAGATTGGGGCAGTCACCCTCTGACCACTTACCAGGAAGGTCTTCTGCAGCACAGGGAGGAGCGGGGAGGAGCGGAGAGGAGAGGGTTAGAGGGGTTAAGATGCAGGCAAACAGAGCTTCCCGATTCCTACACTCCCGAAAGAGCCAGCTTAGAGCAAGGCAGCTCCAGGCCCTGACATCAGAAGTTCAATTTCAAGGAAAAGATGCTAGGGATGAACACACATGTACAGACACACATACCAGACTCACATAATGACCAGCACACAGAGGAAGACACATATACAGTCACGCCCAAGGGAGGTGAGTTTGCTGAAACTCTCTCTCTCTCTCTCTCTCTCTCTCTCACACACACACACACACACACACACAGGCTAGATGTGCACCTGGGTAGACATGGAATTCAGTTTAGCTGTTAGGTTCCTCCTAAACATTTATTTTCCTTAAGCTGCGTAAAGATTTGAGTTTGTAACTTAGGCTCAGAGGCAGACACAAACACAACCACTGTATTCTGTGAAAAGGACAGACACACACGCAACAATTGCTGAAAGGTATTATACTCCTCTCAGTCTTGAAAAACCAAGTAACTTTTTAAAAAGCAGTAGGTGACGGAGGATGTAAATAATACCATTAACAGTAACAACTAAGTAGACAAAGATGAGAGAAACTAAAAACAGAAAATATACCTTCTTTTCCAGTACCCTTGGAGAACTGAGAAGAAAATAAAAAGCCACAAAGCAAATCTCAGTAAAGTTCCAGAAATAAAATCCCTATCAGTCACATTCTCTGACTGTACTGCAATACAACTAGAAATCAATGAGAAATGTTAAAAATTAAAATCTGTACCTTTTGGAAATTTAAAAGCACACTCTTACTACTCTTCTAGAACAAGGTGAAAACCAAAACCAAGATCACAGGTACCAAGAAAATACCAACCATGAGAGGCAGAGGCCCCAAAACATACGAGCTGTAGCCGTATCTACACCAGCAGAATATTCAGCCTTAAGTGTTCTCACTTTTGTATACAAAGAATGAAAATAAGTAACCTGATAATTCAAGACACTGGAAAGAGCAGAAAGATCAAAGAAGGCTGTAAGAAACTAACATTTTATAAAGGAGAAGAATATAGCAATGATAATTAAATCCCAGAGCAAGCTTTCAAAGACCACTAAAATAAACACTCATCAAAACTAATTTTTAAAAATAGGTATAATATTAGGAATGTGACAGATCAAAAACAAAATATGCTATGGTGAGAATAAAAATACTCATAAATGCATAATGTATAATATTAGTATTCTATATTAATATTTACTGGGGGAAATCAATAACAAAATCATGTAAACTCTAGATGAGGTGATTTTCTAGAAAAATATAAATTGATAACAGTGATTCAAAAGGAGCCAATTTTGAAATGATTTATAAACCTGATAAAAAGTGGAAGAGATCCCAAAGAAAGACTTCCAAGAAAGATATCGGGTCGAGCTAAGGGAAAGTTCTATCAGTGTTTTCAAAGACGAAGTCACTCTGTTCTACAACATCGACAAAGAAGAAAATGTTCCCCACTCATTTTATGAGACAACACCTGAAAAAGAATGACACACACACACGATTTATCTCTTTCCTGGGTAGAGATATAAAGACCCTAAATAAAATATTAAACAGATTGCACAGTAGACCTGGCATGATCGCGCTGACTTATTCCTGAATGCAAAAGTGGCTCAATATTGATGAGCAACGACAGAAACCCCACAAGATCATGGTCAACAGAGGTTGGAAAACTCCAGCCCACTGGCTGGCCATGTAGCTTTACAATTTAAACACCAGTGCCGTCCGTGGCTGCTTTTCAGGGATGAGATCAGAGTGGAATGATGGCAACAGAGACCTGTGTCCTCCAAGCCTAAAATATTTACTATCTGGCCTGTAAGAGAGAGTTTGCCAACCCCAGGTTTATAAGATGCAAAACAAAAATAAAAACAAAAGCAAAAATTAGCGGAGGGAGGGGTAGAATGTCTGGTTTATTCCTAAAGGAAACTCTCCGTGGATTGAGAGGAATAGGAAGCGGTCCTAGCTCTGAGAGCCCACGCCAGCACTGTCCTGCATAACACCAGGCTTCCTCCCTTCCTGGACTCTGTGCCTTTGGCGGCCTCTCCTGATCATCTGCACATGACCCAGAGAAACCACCAAAGCGGAGCTGTCAGGAGCCTGACTGCCAGAGTTCAAATCTCACCACTCCAGCCACGTGATCTTGGACAACTACCTAACTTCTCTATTCTGCAATTAGCGAATCTGTAAAATAGAAAAATAACAGTTCCAATCTGATAGAGTTATTCAGAGGAATAAATGTATAATGTGCTCAAAACGGCACCCAGCACATAAAAGCAACCTAAGTGTTATTACTATTACTGATAAATGTGCTGCTGCTGCTGTCATGCAGATCACGTTAGCTTCTTGGCCAAGGACTCACATTCCCACAAACTGCCGGCAGGAGCAATGCTGGCCACACATTTTCCAGAAAGTCAATCAGCTGCATGTTTCCATAGCCTTAAAAATGTGCCTACACTTTGACCCAGCAAATCTATTCTAGAAATCTACCCAAAGAAAGTACATGGATATGCTTAAATATTTAAGTTCATTTAAAACACTGAAAAACTGGAAACTGAAGTGCCCAACTGTGAGGAGCTGTCTGGGAAAACCATACATTCATGATTAAAGTGACGCTATAGAAATGCATTTACTGACATGGGAAGTCATGCAGAGCTGGTGATACTTATAAAGGGTTAAATTCTGTATCTCACTTTAATAAAAGGCCTAAACCCCAATGTTCACAGTGATTACATCTAAATAGTGATGTTACTAATGTTTTATTTATTCCTTTTATCAAAAATTTAGACTTTTCATTGTGTACAAGTATTCCCTGTAAGGTTTAAAGCTTTTTAAAAAGTTTTTAATTTCTATTTTTTATTTACTTGAAAAGCAGAGTTACAGAGAGAGGAGGAGAGATGGGGAGGCGGTGAGAGGGGGAGAGAGAGAGAGAGATCTTCAATCCACTGGTTCACTTGCCAAATGGCTGCAATAGCCAGGCTGCGCCAGGCAGAAGCTAGGAGCCCAGAGCTTCTTCTGGGTCTCCCATGTGGATGCAGGGTCCCAAGCACTTGGACCATCTTTCACTGCTTTTCCCAGGCACATTAGCAGGATAGAAGTGGAACAGCCAGGTCTTGAACAGGTACACATATGGGACACTGGCGTCTCAAATGGAGGCTTAACCTGCTATGGTACAACACCTACCCCAGAAATTAAAAACTTTGAAAATAAAGAAGAGTAGCAGGATGCCTCAAAAGACAACACACAGAATCAAAGGCATTTTAAATCATACATCTAACAAGGGATTTTTATCTAGAATATACAGAGAACTCACACAATTCAGTAACAACAACAAAACTCTGATCTCAAAATAGGCAATGAATTTAAAAAGACCTTCCTCCAAAGAAGAAACACAAGTGGCCAATAAGCACATGGGAAGATGCTCAACATCACTGGCCATGAGAGAAATGCAAAGCAAAGCCACGATTAAAAAAAAAATAAAGTCACTCATGAGGACAGCTATACTGAAGAAGTCAGATGACAGTGAGTGTACTGTCGCACGTTTTGGTGTAAAGCTGTGCAGGTGCTCTGGACAACAGTCTGGCCGTACCTCCAATGGTCAGTTTCCTAATAACCCGGCAATTCCACTCCTGGATATACGTCTAGCACAAAAACATGTGCACAACTGTTCAAAGCAGAATTATTCATAATAGCCCAAAAGTCTAAAGGAT